CAATAGTCTTCAAGTTCTCCCTCATTTTTTCAGCAGTAAACGTGAAACAAAGTCTGGGTTTCAAAAAGGAATGGTAAGGAAGGAGAATGAGGAGAGAGGGAGAAGGCGTCCGACACTGTGATCCAGTTTTTACCCCTCTTGTTTTTCTCAAAAGGGTTTGTTTACTGAATAGCTCAAATTAATGATAGATCATTAACCTGCTGAGTTAAATAAGAATAGCTTTCTGCTGGCTACAACTACTTGGTTACTCTTCCTCAATGTCGGAGGGAAATCACGTCATTAATGATGCCGCCCAGCTGGGTGCGTCTGAAACGCAGCATGACTGCAAGTCTTTTATTATTTCGTTGTTTTGTTTTTAGTTTTCAAGAAAAAATAAACCAAGATTAATCCAGCGTTTGAGGCTATTGTGTTTGTAAACAACACAGAGACCAAACAACTGAGCCAGAAGGGTGACAGAGCTGAGAGTTTACCTTTATCAACCAGACCAGGTCACAGGAAAACACCATCAGATGGTTAGCATCAGCTAAACGCTAGCAGATTTTTATCAGGATATTTTACATTAAATAACTGTCTTTGTCCCTCCATCATCATGTAAACAGAAGACCCCCCGCCTCCATCTTCCATTTTACCATTTTTATATATAGGTAAATATATAAGCACATTGAAAAACATTATTTTTGTTAACCTCTCAAAACCCACCGGGTCGCCGGCGACCCGTTTTAAAAGCGTTTACAAATAATAACTCAGAATGGATGGAAATTGGTAAAATGTTTACCAATATAGACATTTTAGACATCGTTGGAAAGCTTAGATTCTCCACAATTCAACCACCTAGTTCATTTTATGGACACAGCAAGCATCAAAGCACAGTTAACAGGTATAGCAGCATGTCAAAATGTACCATGACAAAGCTGCCACAACAAGTAAGCATATCTTTATCACTTCTGTTCAAAAAAGACCTATTATTTTCCAGAATAAAAAAACTGAACTGATGCAACTTGGGATTGATGCAACTTGGGTGTTTTACTCACCCAATTTTCATGCATAATGCAAAATAGGCAAGAATTTCCCAAAATGAAGTGGATATTAAGAGATTCAATATGAAATGGCCTCCAGCTGGATTAAAATCTGTATCAATATTAAAAAAGTTTAGTTAGATTTTTATATACCGATTAAATTACATCCATTAAAAGACATGTATACCACATAAAACATTGTCATTACACGTACAGATTAATGAAAAATAAGCACTCAGGCCAACATAAAAATAATATGTCCTTTAATAAAGTTATAGTAAAACCTACTGGGAACATATTTTCACATTCTAAACCTATTTTCTATTCATGTGTACAGAGATACAGTTTTGCTTTTTGTTTTCAATTAAGCTGTTATTATGGTAGGATGTAAATATAAAGTTTAAAGATAATGTATATTTTATTTTTTCACGTTCTTTGTGGAAATATTACAATAGAAATTACAATGACAAGGCTATGATACTTTTCGGTGCATCAATATCAACGTCTTTAAAAGGGAATCAAATTCCTGGCAGCCCCCTCAGTGCCGGAAATTACAGACATATCAGGAATTAATTTAATAAAATTGGGTAGTGCTTATAGACCTCTATAAAAGCTGTATAAAAAGCTGGCAGGTTTTATGTGGGAACAATCACATGGTGCCGTTTCAGCAACAGTTCAGCCTATCACAGTCTACGATCTTCAAAGTAATTTCATGTTTATTCCTTGTCTAATTCTGTAGAAATTCAAAGGAAAGTAAATTACCCTTATCCAACAAATAAGCATATTTGATACTGATCACTAGCTTATGCTAACAGCTGATGATATAGCAGCGGTGGGTCAGTCAAAAATGACAATTTGAACTTTTTTTATTTTTTAACAGTGTCCTGTCTGGCAATGTGGCAATAAGAATAATTGTCTTGATCAAAAAGAGCCCAACAGATTTTACTTTCACAAGTGTAGCAGTATGGCAATCGCCATATTGCTCCACTTGTTTCATGCATATAAATTGCTTTATTGTAATTATGCAGGGAGTTTTACAGTTTATATGGACACTGCAATGTAAATAGAGCAGAAAAACAGAAGAAGAAAAAGGAAAAAAGAAAAAACAAAGAGAAAAGATGAAAGAAAGAGGAGATAGAAAGGAGATAATGATAAAACATTTTCAGTCTGCTTCATCACCTGCAACGAGATGAAAAAAGAACATCACAACCGAAAGACATGGTACAATAGACAATTTGAACTTTCAACTTGGGGCTAATTCACTATTAATGTATATTGTGATGTCCTGTTATTCAATAACAGGGATATGACATTGGAACACATTTGGGGTATTGCGATATAACCTGCAGTCTGCTATCTGGTTTCTCACAGGCTGATGTTCCGGGCGCAGAAAGA